TCATCACAGCCCGCAATTGGCTCCATCTGCGACCAGGGGCACTTGGGAGCCGCTCAAGTGACCGCAGGCAAAGAAAACAGCATGACGGGGCGGGCGTGCGGGCGAATGGGGTCACCGAATCGCACCGGGCACGCTCAGTCGGGCCGGCGCTGCGAGGAGTGGCCAACAAAGCGAAGCTGGCCGTCATGGCTGACTCGGCGGGCGGGGAGGTGATCCAGCGGTCACACGCCGCACGCGCTCTTGCGCTGCCTCCGGGCGCCAGCTCCGAGGCGCAGAGGGGATGCACCGAGACGGAGTCCGGCGTCCACGTCTGATCGCTGGTGCCACGAGTCGAGCCTGAGTGTCACATCTGGCTGCTGCGAGACAGGGCCGGTGCGCCATGGCTAAACGATGCCGCGTGCCGGCTCGCGCTGGGAATATTTATGGTCGTACTAATGGGCCGCGCTGGAGAAAACCCACAGAGGCTATGGTAACTAACCATTGACGGTTAGGAACAATTTGTTTTCATTTTCAGTCTTTCATTTCCGGAGGTTAGCGTAAAGAACTGGTGATTAGAAAAGCAAGGCTTCACGTTTGAATAGGCATCATAGAAACCAAGTGAATTGGCGTCCAAAACACTTGGTCTGCGGTGTCCTAACGAGGCTGTCACCAGCCGCCGGACGGCGACGAAAGCCGGGTGGCTCGCCCCTCCCGCCCAGCTCACGCCGGAGCGACTCGGGAGGCGCCGGCCTGCAGAAGGTCGCGCCCAGCCGGTGCCGTCAGACGGCGCCGTGCCAGCCTGCGCCGGTCCCCGAGGCCGCCGGCCGGGCCGGAGAGCTCGAGCACCGGCCGCAGCCGCCGCCGGTGGCGCAGTAGTCGCCGCTCGTCAGGCTCTGACGTCGGCGATCAAGCGGATGTGGCCGGGCGTGGTGCTCGCGTCTCTCGCCCGGTGACCAAATGGCGCTCGAGCCGTGTCCTCGGTACGGCTGAAGTGACGTCAGAGCCACATCCAGTCACGTCCGAGACGCGTCCGATCACGTCCGGACCGCGTCCGAGACACGCCCGATTCCGTGCGAGCCGCCTGCCCGTTACGTCCCCGCTCTCGGGCGGCGCGGCTAGTGCGGTGGCAGTATGCGGGCCCATGAGCGGCGGCGCCGTCGGTGCGCGTCAGCTATGTTGTTTTCACATTCTGGCCGCCCGCCCGGCGGAGCGGCGTGACTGCCCGCGCCCGAGGTGGGAGCGGCTGTCACCACTGGATCATCGCTCACGCCTGGACAGGCCATCCCTGCATCCCGGTGATGTCACGGCGGATTCGCCCCGCCAGGGAATGACTCTGACTCAGAATCGTTGAGCACAGAGCTTAGAATGACTCACCGAGACGTCACGGCATTTGGCGTCACTTCTCAACGAACAGTTGACTTGAATTTGTCCCAGCAGATCTGGATTATAACGTAGGGCACTATGATGGCGTGCTTGTTTGAGCAGGCGCAAATTCTAAACGTATAAATGTCAATGGAGAGGATCACAACGGTAACGGCGCAGATCGCAGCAAAGAGATAAGATGAGGCTGTGACTTATATAAGATGTATTTGGACAAACGTGGATGAGGATATTGTGTCAAAATGCATGCGTGCGCGTAACGAAAGACTGCGTATCTGACCACGTATCACATGAGATGCACCAAGCGTATGCACCGATGAGCAGATAACATGTCACGCGACAGGCATACATGCACACTACATGCCAATACCTGCCGTTGGCCGGCATACGACAGGGCCTACTGCCGGAGGATGTCGCGGTCTCTCGCGTGACAGGAACATAGACACACGACCGTGCCGACGGACGCGGCGCCGCGCCCCGGGACACCTGCCGACGTCCGCGTACATGTGGCGCACATCAGAGTCCTGACCTCGCTCTGTGCTGTTGACAATAATAACGAGCGGCCTACCGAGGCGGCTAATAGGGACCGGGGCGGCCCGCGACCCCACGCCGTGTCGCCATTAGGGCTTCATTAGCGCTGCCATGTACGCTGCAAGGCCGCAAAAACCCGAGCCGTCGCTCACACGGATATGGTGACGTCCTTATCAGCCGTGCAAAAAGCCGTGCCACTGTCCGGTCCCGTAAGGTGCGCTGCTGATAGCCGAATAATGGGGCCGATTTCCTCAAGGTAAGAAGTGGCCTGCAGTGGAGGCCTCCGAGTCCACTCGGGGAGCGCCTGCGTGATGCCGCTCCTTGTCTGCGCAGCGTGTGCCGGCCCGTCAACACACCGCTCGCTCCGGGGTCGGCACGCCCTGGCGCGGCAGTCACGGGCGGCGAGCGCTTCAAGGCCGAACCATGCGGTGCCCATCCTCACACCACGCGGTGGCAGTGCCGGCTGGTAGTGTCCGGCGTCCGGTGGCAGCGTCCCGTGGCGGTGACCTGAGTGGATGACGCCGGGCGCCGCCGCACCCGGGGCAGGGCGGACGGAACCGCCCCGAGTAGGCAGCCGTGTCCGATTCATTATCGATTGAACTCGCGGCTTTCCAACGCGGCAGCGCTGTAAACAGACAATAGCTTTCTCTGCAGGCGCGCTCGCGCGCGCTGTTGACGCGCGTCTCGTACTTCATCGGCTGGTTTCTCCGGACGCCGGGCGGGCGCGGCGCCGGAGGCGCGCCCGTTTCGCCCCGGCCGGCCGACCTTCCACGTCCGACCCCGACCCCGGCGGTCCGACCCCGGTCGTCCGGTGGCCGATGCTGGTCCCTGGACCGTGCAGAGGACTCGCGCGCCGGCAGTCGTGCTGATCCTGACCGGACGGACACGGTCCACCGCCGTATCCATATGGATGACGCCGGCTCTCTCCCGAGTCCTGCGGCAGAAGGCCCGAGGGCGGGGAGAGATCTCGATGTCCGCCACGCGCGGCCCGCCGCGGCCGGCGCACCCCTTCCGACTCGGCCCGGTGCGCTGCGGCAGTCGGACCAGCCGCCGCGCGACGGCCTCGTCCCGGAGCAGGCGCCGCAAAAACAGCTGGCGCCGCCTGGCCCGGCCGGGCTCGGTCGCCGGCCGCGGCCGGTCAACCTTGGACAGCTGACGGGCCGGCCTGGGGAGTCGGCCGGCCGTCAGCGCGCCGCACTGCGCACCGTTAGCGGCCGGTGTCTGCAGCTGTCTGGAGCTGTCTGGAGCCAGCGGCCGGGGTCGTCCGTCTGGGCTGTCTGTGACGCTGCCGCCACCGCACCCACTGGCTGGAGAGCAGGCGGTGGGATAGGTCGGCTCGGGATGGTCGGGTTGGGCCATGAATATCTCCTGCAAGCCGAGTGGACAGTGCGTGATGCCTGTTCATGGCAATGAAGCAGTTATAGGTCGCGTTTTCCGTGTGGCTTCCTCGATATCGCGTTTGGATCCAGACGCGCATTGTTGACGTGTTGCAAAACTGCGGATTTGTCCACTGTAAGGCATGTATCCATCCTCCACCGGGTTTGACGAGTTTGTTTCTTTTTTACAAAAAACTGTGTTTAGATTTCAAGATGATAGATCGGCGTAGGCGCTGGTAATATGTAAAAAGCCCGCACAATGCATGCATTGCGTGCAAGCACGTTCATTACGCTATCCAGGAAAACACACCTTTCCGCAGGACACGGTGGCTAGAAACAGATAACTTTCTATACGGTACTTTTTCAGCTTATGTCAGCGAACATGAGTGTGCTGCCAATTTACGCTGGAGTTTTTGTGTTGAAAACTACTCTAAGACAATGCAAGAACGGACTATGATAATGCTGCATCGCCTTTACACAGCACAGCGAGCACGTGTGTGGCAGATGAGATGCCAGACGGGGTACGGTTCTGACCTGTCCGCGCGACATATCCGAACACCGATCGCAGGATTCCCCAATGTACCCCGCGTCCGAACAGAACATGCCCAACGTTCCTTCAATTTCCGTGCGAATGCCGAATGGCACAGTGGTACGGCAGGGGTTAGAGCGGCAAAAAAGAGCGCTATGTGCCGCATGTGAGGGAGTAGATAAAAAACGGCCGTTAGTAGTTTTCCGTGTTTAGTTCAGGTCTTTGTGAGCACTCTATGGTGACTTTGAAAGCGCAGATTTTAACCTATGCAGATTGAAGCATATATGACGCTTGTCATTAAAGGCTGTGTACTGTGGATGACATTGGAATGACTGCTGATAATTAGGTTGTCACGAAGTGAGCCGGTCGTTTTCTGATATGCTCTTGCAAACATCAGCTTCCTTCCATCAGAATAGTTGTCTCCGGTGGTAGGCTTTTCCATACGTGTGTCAGAATGGCATGCCACAAGGCCTTTTTTGACCGGACCAATTCTGTCATTCGTGTCGTGTAAAGCGATCCGACGAAAAAGATGGCTCTGTTCCGCAAGCGGTTTGAAAGCCGTAAACCAGATTGTGATGACCGCATTTAAGTCGGCTGGTCCGTCGTTTAGCGTTTCACTTTTTCTTTTGAAGCTACAACACCTGGCGTCTCTTCTATCAGTGCTTAATTATCCTAACCTTGATAAAAATATAAGCAATGGAACTTTCCATTACCGCGCAATGTAAAAGAATGTCTAAAGCGGAAGATGTAGCGACCTTCCACTGCAGCCTTTAACCGGACGTTTGATCTGCTTACCTGCTTTCGAGCTTCTGAAGCAAGATCTGCGCAGTACGTTTCGCGTTTTGCTCGGTTGAGCTCCTCCGGTGACGTGCAAGTGCACAATGTTGGCGGACTCTTTGGCCATGTAGCCTCATGAAGAGCGTGACATTGTCGGTGCAGTGTTGACATACAATGGATGACTGCCATGAGTAAGGTCCAAAGCCCGGAAACAAATGCATTCCGGTGGTTCGTCACGGTGGAAAACTTCAGCTGACGCGAATGAGGAAGGCACGACACTTCACATTTGAGGTCACCTTGCTTGTCTGACAAGCAAGGTTTGCGCGTCAGCCCAAGTCAAACAAACAAACAACCAGCCTGATGACGGGCTGCTGTGCTGTGCTGACGACCGAGGACCCGTGCTGATGACGCGTCTCCTCCGCCCGCAGGATGTGCGCCCAGCTGGTGACCTGAGCGGAGCTGGTGCTGGTGACCAGCTGGTGACCTGAGCGGAGCTGGTGCTGGTGACCAGCCGCTGACCTGCGCGCCCCCTCTGCCATGATGCTGATGGATCGGGGCCAGGCACGCCGCGGGCCGCGGCTCTACGAGTACATGCCGGCCGAGCCCAGCGTGTACGCGGTGCCCACCGTGCCCCACCCGGCGCACCATCTGGTGCCGCCCATGCTCCCGCCCAAGGTGAGCTTCGATGACCAACCGCCCTGGAAATCCCCAAGTGCCGTCCATCTTTGAAGTGAGGGGGTCTCCGAACGCTTACGCGCTCCACCCGCGACACCGGATGGCATCACCCACGTCTGCACTGAGTGAACTCTAATCACGAGCCACCGGGGACGCCCCCTGGCGTCGCCCTTGCTCGCAGCCAAGGTGAGCCGACCTCCGGTTGGCGCGGGCCGCATTCATCCATCGGAGGTCACGGCGAACTCACAAGTCAGCGCCGCGTGACGTCACGGCGTGTGGTCACGGACACCTCACGGCCGGATAAGGGAGTGCACGAACCTGTACTGTGCACCGGCTCCGTCATTAGTGCTCAGCTAAGCGGTCACCAACAGGATCTCAGCAGTGTCGGGCCGGAAATGTTTTTTTTCTTCATTTGATTCGGTGGAAAGGGTGTGGAAGGTGTACCAACCATGTGATGCTCGGTTGAGTACGGTGTCATGAACATATTCTTGGTATGCGTACGGTGTCACGAGGTTTTGCATTGTCTCATGTTAATCGCTGCAAGGCGGGAGCGGCGTCGTAGCGTTACTCTAAGGTAATGTTGGTTTTCAATTTCTCGACTATCTCCTAATGAAGCCGCTTTATCTCTTAAAGGTTAAATCATGCAGAGCCGGCGGACTGAGCTCTTTTCCCTGAAGCTAATGCCATGGTTTCATCCTCTATCAGACGCATATCTGCCCAGAGCGCGTAAAGCCGCGCCCGCAGAGTCGACTAATCAGGCAGCGAGGTGTTGGGCCTGACACCCTGCCAGACGGCCAGTGAGATTGATGCAGGGCCGCGAGCGGTCACTCCGCCGGCGCCTGGCACCCGCACGGGGCTCGACCCCAGGCCGGCATACTTGGACCGTCGGGCGACCTTTTACGAGCGCATCTCCGCGGCCATCTGTTATATTAATGCGCGCTTCGTGTGAAGCGCCCACCGTTTTAACAAGCGGCTCGGAGCGGGTGCGCACGCCCGCGTGGGGGCGGGGAGCGGACCACCCGGCTGTCTGGCGGCTGGTTAGCGCTCTCTCGGCCGGGTCCCGTCCGGCTGACCTCTCTCCAGAGGCCATTTCCATGACAACGACCCGGTAACGCAGCCGTGATCACCACGGACCACACCTCCCCATTCAATGAAGTCACCGCTGCGTTGAAGCTCGGTGAGGTCTTTCACGATGACGCTTACTGCAGATATGACGTAGATGGGGGCAATGCCCTCATTATTTATAACGAAATAAAGGGAAAGCATCCACGCAGACGTCAAAATCTGCGTTAACTGATCCCGTCTGCACACCCCTACGCCTTCAAAACTCTGCAACCCGCATCTGCCTGCACAGCGGCGGCCCAGCAGGCCGCCAGCCGGTCCGGCGGTCGGGGCCGCCGGCCGCCGCCACCCACTCCTGCGTGCCCCAGATCAGTGGGGCGGCGGCGCCGGCGCCGGCGGCGGGACGCGCTAGTCAGCTGACGCAGCAGTCGGCAGACTCGGCCGGTCTTCTGCGCCGCCCGCCCGCCGGCCACGCGCCCAATCTGGGACGCGCCATCGCCGCTTTTGGGCGGAGAGGCGCGGCTGGGCTGTTTTGCGTGGGCGGCGTGGGCGGAGATTGCAGGGGGGATAGTGGGACACGACATGACCGAACGGGCGAGGGACGCGGGCGCTGGGGAGACCGGAAACTAAACTTTTAGGACTCGGGATAAACGACGCCCAGACCATTGCGCTGGGGTTTCCTCCAGCTATCGAACACGTGAGACGTAAAACGAAAATGGTGGGTGCTTTTTGTGGTGGACCCCGTTTTGAGGGATGAGTACAAGCGGGTGACATGTTTTGATCAGGTGCAGCGGCGTCTATCACAACCATCTGCTGTGGTTCTGCTCGGCTCAGGACGGTGCAAACCAGATACCATAAGTGACCAGGCTGTGTCTTCGGACGCGGTCGCGGACTGGTTTGGGATCGTGCGCTTGGGTGGCTTTGTCCAGGCTCGACAGGCCCCGCCAGCGCGGCAGCCGGGCGGGGTCGCTGGCACGCCGGCCACGATCGGAGGACGTCCGGCCGGTGCCGCGTCGGCAGCGTTTCACTTCCTTTCGACGGTCGGGCGGCGGCGGCCGGACGGCGTCGCGGCCCGACCCCTGCCAGCCGCGCGCGGCGGCGGGGGTGGGTGCTGACCTCTGACCGATCGGCGGCGGCGGGCATGCCGCGGCGCGGCCGGCGAAACCTGACACGCGGCCGCAGCAGCTTTCGCGGCCCGCCGGCCGTTTCTGCCTTCGCTTTCTGTTTGCGCTGAAAGAGCGTTCGGTCTCTATCGCGCGTGATTATGTTTGAGCACGTAGGAGGAAGCGGTTCATAAGCTGGAACGGTTTTCATGAGTCGAGAGAGGGCTTTCGCCGCGGTGTCCGCAGACGCGGAAGCCGTGTGTGGCAGCTGGGGCCCCGTGGGAAAAGCGGCGTCGATGTGTCGGCGGCCTCCAGCCCGTCCTCGCTGGATCAGCTGCGGCGCGTCCGTCCCGTGCTGGAACGCTCGGCAACGTTCTGCCCCGCCGCCTGAGGCCGCCCCTCCCCCCCCCTCACAAGCCATCCGACAAGGTCACATCGAGACCGGGACGAGAGGTGTGGCCGGCTCCGGCTCAGGGCCGGCGCGGTCGCTAATGAACGATACTCAGACGCGCCAGCTCATTTGTAAGTCCATATAGACCTTAAATGGAAGCAGGCAGCGTGAACTAATGAACGCCAGAACCGTTCGGAACTGTTCCATAACGGGGTCGTGTCAATTTTAGCTATTCACACTGATGCTATCCGGTACGGTGTTCTCTGGATCCGTAATGGACTGCTCCAGGGCGCAGCGCATCACATCCCTGGACCTTTCAAGGCCTTCAGACGTGCTATTACGGTCCCGCACCGCGAAGCCGGCGATTCACAGTGACGTCACAGCTTCCCGCTGCCTTTGGCTCTCTGGATACAACGTAAACTAATTGCTCAACATAACGTCGCGTGTTATCCGAAAAGTTTTATTTGGCAGAGGCGCAGAGCTGGGTGACGATTGAACCAAACGCGTGTGCAACAAGTGCGCATTCAGCTCTGAATTTTCTCTGAATTTTTTTCCCGTCGGTGCAGGATTGCACGGCTTTTCGGTGAAAACAACTGACCATTGCATAATTGCTCCCCAAGGTCTTGTGAACGCTCCAGGCAGCGGCGTGACCTTGATTGAGTTGAACAGCCGGGCCAGGTCTGGGCAACATCTGGCCTCCAGGTGGCGGCCACGTGCGTGCGAAAGTTCGACCACTGGGCCACGCAAGGCCCCGTGCCGAAAACGGCGGAGCATGGTTCGGCGATTGGCGCCAGGAAAGCCTCGACGCGCTTCCGTGTTGCTGTCATCAGCTGTTGCTTCAGCACTTGGCGGTCGGCGGTGCCCTCCAAGATGCTGTCCTCCTGACATGTGGTGAATAATATACATTTTCATAGGCAACTTACAGCAAGACGAGCCACTCCTCCATGCCACTTTGAAACACACTGAACAATCATTAATCAGCGCCGGCCAATACGCCAGGCCGGAAGCGTCTTCGGTGCTCAATGGCTCTTTTGGAGGTCGGAAGTCGCGCAGAGTGCGCCTGCCACGCCGCCAGGAATTTGTTTATTCATCTTTCCGGCGTGCCTGATCGATCACAGATGTCACGTGCTGCCTCTCGCGGAGGCTCGGCCTCGGGTTCCCTCGGCCGCGCCTTGATTGTTTCCTCCAATATCTGACGAGTGCCATGACTGGCTGGAATGCGCCCGGGTGGTGAGCGGTTGACACCAAACCGGTGTGTGCTGGTGGCATCGCTTAATCAGGCAGGAGGCTGGTGGCATCGCTTAATCAGGCAGCAGGTGAAATAGCGTTGGGGTTCTGCATACGAAAGCTGACCTGCAAAAAAAATGGCAAATTCAACTCCTCGGTTCACGCGGAATCCATATGAGTTGGGTGCAGAGTCACTGAGAACGTCGGCGGCCTGAGTGTAAGACACGTTTCTCTCAGTGTATGACACGTTAGCTTGCTTGTCGCGCAGCGAGACAAAGCGTCTCTGATCGTCTCTCACCAGTCCCTTCCCAAGGATGGGACTGCAATACTCTGTAATCCGCTATAATCCCATCAGATTGGCTGCTGCGCACCGCCGCATCGGGTCTACGGCGCGCCGTATTCCCCAGCTCCGTGGCGCCGGACGAGCGCCTCGGCCGGGACGACGGCGGCGGCGGGCCGGCGGCGCCCGGCGCACTCGTGCGCCGCCGTGTCGTTGAACCGCGGCCTCGCCGCGCTCGTGACGCCGCGCTCCTCTGTGAATCCGCGTACAAAGCCCAATTGCCGGCCCCGGCCGCCGCTGCGACGAATCGATGTCGCTCGTCCGACGCCCGTGACGCGCGGCGCACAGTTCTGGCGCACCGCGCGGCGCGCGCTCGCCGCGGCGAAGCGCGCGCTTTCTTGCGGCCACGCGGACGACAGCGGTGGGTTATGAACGGCTATCCGCACGCCGTTACTCGCCCACGATTATTGCCTGCAACGGCACCGGTCGCGCCGCGTGCGAATTGGTGGCGAGGCGAGCCGAACAGACGGATGGCTGCCGCGACCTGCGGCGGCTGCCGGTGCTCGCGCGCCTCCGCTCAGTCGCCCGGCGACCCAGTTCCTCCCGAGCCGCCCCCGGTCGCAACTCAACCGGTTTCCGCGTTGTGTCCGCGGCTCTGGGACCTCTTGGGACCGCGCGCCCGCACAGCCGGGAAAATCAGCGAAATCTCAGCCGAGTTATACGGCCCTGGCATCGGCCATTGCTTGTCATAGAAACGGGTCAGATTATGTCGATATTAAGCTTGTGGGAAAAGTCTGATCGGCCTGTGCCAAATTGTCCCAAATAGCAGAGTTCTTAACAATAACAGAGAACGACGCCTTAGCTGTTGGTGTGCACCCCACCCCACCAATGTGCCCCCCCCCCTCCACCATCCGAGGTCTAACACCGCATGTGCCGTCTTTCAGGAAAACCCGGGCAAAGCCAAGAAGTCGCTGTCTGACTGGCTCAAGTTCGGCCGGAAGAGTCGGCCGGACGACCGCCAGCTGCGCGAGCTGGTGCGGCCGGCGCCGCGCGGCTACCCGCCAGCCCGAGTACCTGGAGCCGCCGGCGCCGCTGGGCCGCTCCATGCGCTACGCCGAGGCGTGGCTGGCCGACCAGCCGCGCCGGCTGCCGGCGCAGTTCGCGGCGCCCGTGGCGCGGCCGTACGGCACGGTGTCGGCGCGCGTCGCGCCGGCGCGGCCCGGCCTGCGCCAGGCGTTCGAGGCGCCGCCGCCGCCCGGCGCGCTCGTCTACCCGTGGGAGACGTACGCGGCCGCCGAGTACGCCGTGCCGGTGCCGCTGGAGCTGGAGCCGCCGCCGCCGCCGCTGCCGCCGGCCGGCTGCGCCTGCAAGAAGTCGCTGATGGACAGCGTGCGCGGCCGCAAGAAGACGGCGTGCAAGCGTTGCGGCGCCGAGCGCATGACCGTGCGTCGGGTGAAGGCGCGCTCGCGTGGCTCCGGCTCGCCCGCCCAGTACCAGGACCCGTACGTGATGATGCGGCGCGCGCGGCTGGGCGCCTCTGACGGCGAGCTGTACGAGCGGCCGCGATCGCAGAGCCGCGAGCGGCCCGTCGCGCCGTCGCCCGGCGAGTACGCCGTGCCCCGCGTCGACGGCGTCGGCCGGCTTCGCAGCGGCTACTCGCGCGCGATCGAGCCTGGCTGGCCGCCGCCCGGTCATGTGTACCAGGCCTCGTGGGTGTCGCCCAACGAGAGCCTCGACAACAACTTCCTGTACAGGGAGACGGCGCAGAAGCGGCGCGCGCTGCTGCAGGTGCCGTGCCCCGTGTCGCCGGGGGTCGCGCCGCCGCCGCCGCCGCCGCCAGCTGCCATCACCTCGTTCCTGCCGGAGCCGCCGCGGCCGGCGGAGCCGGCGCCGGAGAAGGCCGCCGAGAGCGGCGGTGTGTCGCCCGACTCGGGCTCCTCCTCACTCTCCGAGGACGAGTGGAGCGCCGAGGAGAGCGGCCAGCCGCCGCCGAGCTCCGCTCCCGACCGCGGCCTGGCGGCTCGGGACGAAGTCAGTCGGCCGCAGCCCGGTCCGGCCAGGGTCAGCTCGACTCAGCGGCCCGCCGAGGTGACCGGCTCAAAGCTGGCCAAGCTGTCGCAAGCAGGCTTCTCGAGTGTGCGGCTAGCCCAGAGGACGTCCAAGCCGCCCGCTCCGCCGACGCCGCCAACGCCGCCAACACCGCCAACACCGCCAATACCGCCAACACCGCCGACGTTGTCACCGGCGTCAACAACGCCGACGCGGCCGGCACCGCCGGCACCCGTCAAGATTCCACCCCCTCCTGGCGTGCCACCTCCTCCGCCTCCGCCTCCCCCGCCTCCCCCACCTCCACCTCCCCCTCCTCCTCCTCCTCCTCCTCCACCTCCTCCTCCACCGCTCCCGCAGTCGGCTCACGACACGCCGCTGAAGCCTCCGCGGCGCAAGAGGACGCCGCTGGAGGAGGAGGCGGACCCGCAGCCGGAGCCGGCACGGCAGACCGAGCGGCCGTCGGGCGCGCCACAGCCACTCATCACCATGAGCGACATCCTGCAGGTAAAGTCCATACTGAAGAAGACGCCGGCGGCCGACACGTCGTCCGGCACCGACTCCAGCTCGGACAGCGGCGTGCCGACGCTGCAGCAGCTGAAGCAGAAACGAGTCCACTTCCGCTCGCACGAGAGCCTGCTGGCCGAGAAGGCCGGCGGCGCCGACAAGCAGCGTGATATCGTGCGCGTCATCACGGACGCGTACGACCGCGTGAGCCGTGCCGAGCCGCCGCCCGACGAGGAGGAGGCGGCGGCGCCGGCCGAGAGTCAGTACGCCAACGGCGAGGTGACCCCGACGTCGCCGGCGGCGGGCACGGACGCCGGCGAGGTCACGGTCAGCGGGTCGACGGTGGCCATCGAGATCGGCGAGAACGGCCAGTGGCGCACCACCAACGTCAGCATCGCCACACAAGGTGAGCGAGAGCCCGAGCCTTCACACACCGCAGCCGTTCAACCCTCCCCGCCACCCCTGAGGTGGCACAGGCCGCTGGCTGCCACCCCGGGAGCGTCCGGACCACTACCCGATACTGCCATTACGGCGCGATTTTCATCAGGTCGCAGTCGAGGCGGCTGAAAGTAAAGTGGCAAACGATGTGCTGGTGTCAGCGTTTACCACGGCTGCTCAGGGTGCTGTGTTTTTCATGCATGTGATCACATGCCTCGTGCATGTGATCGTAATAAGACCAAGGGAACAGTCACATGGTAATTATAGCTGCGATTATGAGGTGGATATTCGGTTGAACGACATTAGAATGATTAAAATTCCACAAGGTCGTCGGCAGCAGACTTTTTGGTTCAGTCCTATTTACGACATGCTTGAAGGTCGTTGTCTGCGAGGAAGATTGATATAGTCATATGCTCATTTCGGGCCTATATTCCTGCCTGGAAAGCTTGTGTGGACAACAAACATGCTTTTTATTTTGCTTACACACAGAAATAAGGTAAAAAAACACACACCATTAACTTGGGTTCCGTCGCTCGCCCTTAATTCCAATGATCCCGTTTGTGTCCATCGGTCTGATGCCAGGTTGTCTTTACAATACAAGCAAGCTATCTACTACGAAGAGGAGCAGTCTGAGATTACACAGGCATCCCACAACTTGTCATCCCTCAAGCGGCCACAAAGCGACATTAGGCTCTCGTGCTTCGCCCGGCCGCCTCGCTGACGCTCGTCACTGGCCCATTATGCGGGCGTTTTCATTTGTCTCCGCTGATGCCTGTGAAATCAGAGCACGAAGGCTAAATAATGGCGCATTGTACGCGTGTGTGTTTGGGCAGACTTCCTCGTTGTAAAGTGGGGTTAGTGGCACGGTAATGGCTCTGAGCCAGACCAGTCCGCTGGCGTCGGTCGTCTGGGGATAGCGAGCCAGCGCCGCAGGTCTTCTGGCCACCTTGACACTGTTCGCTCACACTTTTCTCTTCTCGGCTCATGCTGTTGGTCTGCTGTCTCTCTACTAGGCAGCTAGACAGCTTGATTATTCTGTTTGTTTTAGAGAAGCTAATTGGGCAAGTACTCAGCACAGGTTGTCGAAGATGCCATAAACCCGTGATGAGCTAAGTAATCGTAGATATTACCCGAAAATTGCCCAGCATTATCACCGGCAAACAGCCCACAACTACACCCATCCTTTCTTAAAGACGAACCAAATTTCCAGACACCTTCCGTTATGACGAGAAACTAGCTTTCTATCCGACGTGTTAATCCGCTCACCTTACGATACTTTCGTTGCTCTTGTTTGAACCTGGCCCTGCCGTGATGGCGCTAAATTAGCCTCCTCGTTCGCCGCTGTCTCGGTTTTGCTGGTCGAGGCTCACCGGAGCACCTGTGCAGGAGTCCGGTTACGGGTACCGCACTTTATTTATCTCTGATTTTGAGAAGCTTTCCGTTTGTTGTTGTTTTTTTCCGTTGAAATTTGCCTGGTTCCGAGCCTAGCTCGATTCGGGTCTCTTTGACATCACGAGGTCACTGCTTTCGCATGAGCAAGCCGCGTCCCCCGCCCGCGGTCGGGTACCCACCAATACCTTCCCGCTCAGACTTCCCGCAATGTCGGGAAACCAGTCCGCCCGGCACCGACGGACGTGCCGGCCGTAACCGTGCGAACCTCTCCGCCCGTCCGGCGTCGCGGCCGCCGGGCGCAATTGGCCTCCAATAGCGGGCGCTGGGCTCCTCGCCGGGCCTCAATGCCTTCCGCTTTCTCTGATCGGTGCAAAGTGGCCGGTACGGGCCACCGAAATCGGGCCGCGTGTGTCACGTCTGATGATCCTCGCACCGGCCGGCTGTTAGCCCCGGGAGCAGCCGAGGGGGGGGGGGGGGCTCGCCTGCCAGCCGAGGGGAGGGGCGCCGCCACCCGCCCCGAGGCTAGGGCCAATCACAGACACGTCCGGGAGGCGCTGATCGTCCGTGATTGGCGCGGGTGGCGATTAGACCGACCCAGACGGCGCAAATAGCCAATAAACCCGGACACCGGCGGCCGGATGTGACCGTCGCCTGTCACGCTGTCGGGGAAATGCATCGAAATGCTCTTGAGATCGTGTGCGGGGGCACCGGCGTCGTTTCGTCGTTTGTTGCCGTGCAACGCCGTGCCCGTCACGTCGTTAGCAAGGCAGGCCCGCCGCCGTCCACAGCGCCTGCTGCTTCCCAGGAAACGCCGGTCCGCTAGCTAGAGGGAGCCGCCGAGCGCTGAGTGTCCGTGACCGGGGTGGGGTCTGGAGCGAGCCTCCGCGGCACCGCGAGGCCGCGGCGGCGCAGCGGGGCGGCGAGCGCGCCGCCCCAGCTGACGGTCAATCAGCCCAGGGCGTGGTCAGCCTCGCAGCGCGCAGATGCGGCCGCCCGCGCCGGAGAAAGGCTCTGCGGTCAGCCGGGCGCGGTGTGACCTCGGCCGCTCGGGTGCGGTGCTGGGGGTCTCCGGGTTAGAGTACCGCGGTCGGTCTCTGGGGTCCTGCACGGGCAAGTTGACCGGGAGGCCCTGTGGTCAGGCGCCGAGATGACTCATGCGGTCAGGAACAGGACGCGGTGGGATCGGAGTCAGCCGCTGGATGCGAGGACGATGTTGTGACAGGCGTCCCGAGCTGGAATGGTGGTACGGACACCCGGTCTTCAGCTGCAGAGAGCTGCATTCAGCTGCAGCTGTAGCAGCCCACCACTCCACGGGATATCTGGATGACTGGTCACCAGCGCAGGCTATTACCGTGTTGACTCGAGAGGGTACACGGTACATGATATCTTCATGCTGGGAGCACAGGGGGTTGTCCAACGATCACCTTATCAGAGTATTGGGAGAGCATGGCCATCGCCCACTTCATAGCTCTCCAACAGGCATGCATTCGGCCGCCCGACGTAATTTTATCTTGCTGTTTATTGAGCGTCTTGTTGCATGGACAGAAAAGCCATTTCACAACGTAGGAATTGGCTCTTCTTTTCGGTGGCTCTGGCTCTTGAATGGTCCTAGTTTGGAAGGGCGTGTTAATGATGGACACATTACATAACGGGATGTTCACATCAACACAGATGAGAATCACTGGTACCCCCCCCCCCCCCTCTCATTTTTCACTCGTCCTTCAGCGTTCTTCCCATGTGGCGGATTTGCATCTCGTAAGCCACTTATCAACATGGAAAGCCATGGTGACAGTGTCTAAGCCGCTTTGTCTATCCACAAGTCCGAAATCCACACGGCGGTATCCATACAGCATCAGCTACTGCAGGCCGCCTCTCCCGCGTGCTGATGAGCGAGAGTGGCACGTGCCGGAATGGGGCATGCTTCGTGTCCTTGGCGGAGTGAAACCCGGGGGGGGGGGGGGGGCCAGACCGAAATAGACGCGTCTGGAACCACCAGGCCGAGACAGACAAACACCCCGTCCATCCCGGCGCAGAGTGCCATTGTGAAGACGCCGTGTCAGGAAAGCTATGACGGATGATTGACTATCGCTGGTATTGGTGCCGTTCTGAAGGAGTCGGATTCTCCGCACCATGCCAGACTCGCTACATCATTTAGTCGGCATACCCGGCAGGCCGTGAATAGACACGCTGGCAGTGGAAAGTTCAAGTCCCTATCGATCGCGGGTTACGTGTGCCATGACGAAGAATCCCTCAGCTGGAGCCAACAACTGCTCAGCTGATATCTGACTTATGCAACGGGAAGAATGACACAGAGCGAGGAGGGGCCGACATTCCTCAAATGTGTCCGTTGTTACACTTGTTCTGAAGGAGACATTCATCCTCCTTGCCGACATCTAAGAAGTAACAGTAACTCAAGAGCTCTCCGATATTAAAACAACATTGATTTGTGCCTCTGTGCTCTCTGAACAGCACCACCAGCGGGGTGTTTCAAAACAATGATGGTTTGTATCCTGATAGATTTGTTATCAAATGATTGTTCGTTAAGCAGCTATCTTAAAATGATTGAATGATGATCCTAAGTCACCACTGAAAATAGCGTTAGGTTTAATCAACCAGCTCATCACTAGTCCGAAGCAGCTGCACAATGGCGCTGAAAAGGATGATGCTCAGGTCGTTTAGCTCTCTACGACTGAAAACAGTGCGTGGCTGCCTTTCTTCAACGCGTCAGTCTCATCCATCTCCACACTGGTAAAGCCACAGCTCGCGGCCACACCGCGGCGAATTTTATGGGTTTCTGAGCGTCGGCTACAAATCGTTCGGACTATCAGATTGGGTACCGTGAAATGGCTAATGCAGAGCTCCACAGCACTGCGAGCTGGCCAGTCGGAGAGAGACTCGGGCGCGCGAGAGATGAGTGGATCTCCAGGTCGCGCGTCCGTCTCGGATTGGTGCCTGCCTGAAGAACTGATCTCACCGAGACGATGGACACGCCTCTCCCGGTACATCACATCCCCCGGGAGTCCCACCACCGGGGACCAGGGCGTCTCATCACCAGAGACCAGGGCTTCTCACCACCGGGGACCAGGGCGGCTGCCCCTGGACGCGCCGCGGATGAGAGCGGGTGTACCCGATGCTGCACCGACCACCGGGCTGGCGCGCCGGTCCATGAGCCCGTTGACACATGCCTAATCCCAGCACGGCTCCGGCTGCAGCCGGGTCCGCGGTGCGCTCAAGCACCACAGACCGTGGACGGTGGGAGAGCGGCGGCGGCGGCAGCGGACGCCGCCGCCGCGCCGGGGCGGTGGCTCCGGGAGAGCCGCGCGGCCCGCCCGGCTGACCCCATTCTGACCCCTGGTCCTCTGCAGACCGGGACGGCCCTGCTCCCGGGCCGGAGTCGGCCGAGCAGGACCCGCGCTCCTGGCGGCCGCCCCGCCGCAGGACGTCGAGAACGCGGCTGCCAAGGAGCGCCGCTGTGGGGGACCGTGGCCTCGGGGCACCACCGGTCCCTGGAGGCCGCCTCAGGCACCTAGATACCACCGCCGGTCCCTGCAGGTGCTCGGAGCGGCGGCGCTGGCCGGTCGTCCGCCCCGGCCGGCTGGCGGTGGTGGCCCACTTACAAGGCCCGGCTCACCGGCCGGACCGGGGCGAGCCGCCCGACCGGAACCCCCGACATCCGGTCATCCGTCGCGCTGTGCCCCGGGCACATCCGGCGCCGTTTAAAGCGCGTGGTGCTAATTTTGGCGCACCGTCGGTACCATCATGTCTCGACACAAAGGGCCGCCGCTAGCCCGCGTTTCGCGTACATCGATGCGTCTTACCCTCCCATTATGAGAACGGCTCGATTAGACTCGGCGCCGGTCATGACTCGGGCACCACTGGCAGCCGGGGCCGGTCGTTAGCTGGAAGCCGGCGCTTCTTTCGCGGTTGCTGACCGATCACGAGGCTCAGCATTGGTTGGTCCGGCTCGGAGGCGGCGGCAGTGTGCAGGGTTGAAGCTGAGCAGTGTCGCCGCCGCCGCGGGCCCGACCCGACCTCTGAGCGGGCCCGGCCGACCCTCTGAGTAGACCGGGCCGACCACTGAGGCAACCCGGTCTGACCTCTGAGTGGTGGCCCTGATGACTTCTGAGTGGCCCGCTGACTCTGAGCGGCCGGGATCGTCCCGGCTACCTCGAGGCGGCCGCTTCTTACCTCTGACGCCCGGCTGCACCCTTTTGAGCGGCTCGACCGACCTCTGAGCGGGCTCGATCCGACCGCTGATCGGCTCGTCGACCTCTGGCCGTCCCGGCTGACCTCTGAGCGGGCCCTTCAATGACCTCTGAGCGGCCCGGCTGACCTCTGGCGGCCCAGCTGACCTCTGAGTTGCCCGGCTGACCTCTGAGCGTCCCGGCTCGCGGCCGGGCTCCCCAGACGGACGGACTGTGGCGCCGCGCTGCACAACACTGGGCCTCCAGGCCTTCGGACGAGGCGGCCTTGGTTTTTACAGATGGTGGATGCCAATGCACGTTATCTCGGGGCGTGGGCGTCGCAGCACGATCGGACCCGTCACGTTCTGCAAGGCTTCCCCGGGAGGGCGGCCGGCACGCTCGGCGGGGCTCATCGCCAGCTGCCTCGCACCGCGGTCCATCACTCTTACACCTGGCGCCTTGCGCCTGAATCGACCTCACTCAGAGCGGTCCTGGAGGCCCGCCATAGCAGGGTGGAGGAGCTTACTGGGATCTCTCGTCCTCTGCGAGGTTCACCTGGACCAGTCCCCCCCCCCCCTCCTTAGAGTCTGTCTCTCTTGATCTCCCTAGGAGCGTCATCACAGCCGCCGCCGGCACAGTCATCAAGATGATCGCGTTGATGTGACTGCGATGTTGCATCCGTTGGTGGTGGGTGACAGCGCACGTGCCTTTGTCAAGCAGCAAGAGACAAAGTGGTACGGAGAGAAACCATTTTGAAAGTTTGACGTGCGGAGCTCATGCTTTTTAGCGTGCGGCAAACCCAGCATCCTTGGAATTCTACAGGCTTTTTTGACCGGCCGGCATCGGAATATTTTCGTTCCTCGGCATGCAAGTCACGACATTCGCTCGCATGGAATGAGTCCGTACTTAACAACTGGGCTGCCATGCTGCATTTCTGGAAAGGATTCAAGCATTTTATTCCAGATGGTTTATGACATGCTACGTCGAGGGTCGTGATCATCGCTGCGAACGATGTCTTCCGGCCCAGGGTGATGGCTAGATAGCACACGCGCCATGCTCCACACCACTCTATGAACATGAACATGTTGCCTACACCCGCGCTGTACTCAGCGTGGGAGCTCTGAGTGACCTGATCATGTGACCTCACCCCGGAAGTCGGACTTTGTCGGTGACCTTGTCCGTGACGCAGGTCCCATGACCTCCCTCCACGGCTGTCGTAACCAACCTAGGGAAATCGACCCCAGGACCTGACCAAAACGCATGCCGTCCATCGGTGGCTGTGGGCTGGGGACAGCCTGTGGTGCGCGGTGCGCCGGTGAGCGGGGGCGCTCACCCTCCTCCGACGTGCACGGCCGCATGACCCGCCGGTGGCTGACCTCCCGCTCCGCCCGGCGCGGCTCGGCCGCAGCCCGGCGCGGTTTCACCTGGCGCACGTGCGGCCATTGCGCCGCAGCGCCAGACGTGGCCAGCATTGATGGCCGGCCAGCGGTACCGCGCGCGTTGCGAGCCCGGCCCAGGTCGGGCGGACCGGCGGGGTCGCCGTCCGCTCCCGCGGCCGACTCGGAGACTCGCTCTGTTGTCCGTGTCGTAAGACGCGACGCGCTGGCGCGGGACGCCGCGGACGAGCCGGCCGTGCTTAGGTCACGGTCCGTTCGGCACTGAACGACGCGTGTGACCGGCATACGACCTGCAGCCCTCTCCCCTCCCCCTCGCCGGCCCGCCCCGCCGCGGCGCCTTATGAGAGAGAAAGTGGCAGAGCTCGTAAGCGGCACCCTCGGCGCGGGGCGCCCAGCAGTCGAGACCAGCGGTCACGCTGTCTCCCTGATGGAGAGTCCATTGTGCAGACGCTGGAGATGGAGAAATACAGAGAGAGTTGCACATCTGGTTTGTCACATCAAAGGAATTATTGCAGCTCAAGGTAAACAGCCCGCAACACCCTTATCTACTCCAGCGCGGCTTCTAGTGCCGTCTCCTCCATTCGGTGCCCGCTAGGAATCAACATTTCCAGTGTGGAGTGCGTACATCATCGACAGGATAACCCGATCGTGATTGTTCGGACAAGCAAAGATGCTGGGTGTTGATGAGTCTCAGTGTGCTCGGATGTTTATGATTTACAGTTGCCGGCTCTGTTTCAGACACGGACGACACCGTGCTGTCCCCTGCCGGCTCGCCAATATCCAACAAGGCTCTGCTCTTCAACGACACCATGCGGCTGCATATGCCGACGGCGCGGCCGACAGTGCTGGACGTGTTCCCCGCCGCCTCCGGCGAGCGACGCTCCAGCATCTGTCAAGTCCAACTCATTCCGGGCGCACATGTGTCGGCCGCGTGAGCCGCCGCCCCCGCCGCCCGACAAGTCAACCGCGGCGCCCTCAGTCGCGCCTCCGACGCAGGGCACGGCCTCCAGGTCTATGGAGCCCGATAGCCCGGCAAAGCCACGTCCGCCCTCCAAGCAGCCGGCTCCTCCCACGGTGGCGCAGTCGGCGCCGTCAGGCACCGGGTCTAGCCTTCGCGGACGACGCGGTGACGTCGCGGCCCGCGTCGCTCTCGTCGTTCCGGCCGGACGCGCCGCTGCACGTGAGCGGGCTCCTCAGCGAGCTCGAGTTCGGCCGGCGCCGGTCGCAGACGGCGGCGCGCGGCCGCAGCCAGCCGCTGCGCGCCGTGCCTATCCCGCAGGTGCCGGCCGGCGGCGGCGGCCCGCCGGCGGCCGCGCGCGTGCCGCCGCTGCACCACTCGGCGTCGGCCGACTCGGTGCTGCAGAGCCCGGCGGCCGGCAGCCGTCTCTCGGTCTCGTCGGACGGCAGCGACACGCCGCCGCCGCTCCCGACCAGCCCGCCGCCGCTGCCCAGCAGCGCGCCGCCTCTGACCAGCAGCGCGCCGCCGCTGCTGGGCAGCGCTCACCGGCCCGACAGCGCCTCGCCGCCGCCGTTGCCGGCCAGCTCTCCGCCGCCGCTGGCCGACGACGAGCTGAGCGAGCTGGCGTACGAGCGCCCCTCGCCCGAGAGCCGGCTGCAGCGCGTGCTTGACTCGATCGCGGCCGAGCACCGGGCGGCGGCGCGACCCGGCGGCGTGGCCGCGCCGCGCCCCCTGCCGCTGGCCGAGGCGGCGCCGCGCGCCTACTGCTCCGTCGACGCCATGATCGAGTGGCGCTCGGCCGACGAGGAGCTGGACCACATTTACGAGGAGATCCCGGAGAGGCGGCAGCGGCCGCGGCTGCGCGCACTCCTGCAGGCGGCGGCGGCCGGCTCGCCCGAGCAGGTGCGCTCGATGTTTGGCGGTGCCTCGCGAGCCGAGATCCTCAGCTACCTGCAGACGGCGCGCGAGCGGCAGCTGACCACCGAGGCGGAGACCGAGTACGGCTGGGGCGCGCCGGACTGCACCGGCCACACCAGCCCGCGCAGCTCCAACAGCGACTCTTCCGAGTACGGCAGGCCCGCCAGCTCCAAGGTACGCGGCCGTCCGGCCGGCCGGTCGGCCCAGGCGGCGCGGGGGCGGGAGACGATGTGCGTGAGGCGCTGCTCTGAGCTTTTATGGAGCTCGTGTGCACCCGAGAAAAGGCAAATTTATGCAAAGCACCTCTGATGGACACATCGGTAATTGGATGCTGTGTTAGGCGGACGGGAAACGGCATATGAATGAGGGCGTCGTTAACCTGCGGATAAAGGTTTCAGCCCAATGTACACCTAACCCAAATACCTATCAACGGGGATCTACGCCCAGGCGCCCTGCGTGAGTGCCGCTCACGCTGATCCAAGTAGGGCCATGGCCGCCGAGCTGAGTGCGAGGGCCACCCTGTCCGGTTTGAAGCGTCCCCCGGAAGAGCGGACAGTGGGGCGGTCGCCTCAGCTGGCCTGAGCTGGGCCCGCCCGTCATTATACCACCCGTCCGGCCGCGCGCCGCGCCCCGCCCCTCTTCCGAGCGGACCGCACGGGGCGCCGGCCGAGCCCAGGCGACCGCCCTGACTTCCTCCGCGCGTGACCGACATCCCCGGCGTGTTAGCCGCTAGTCTGCCTGGCTGCTGTTGGCTTCCCTCACCAGCGTAGTTACCAACTTAGCTTGTGGGTTTCACCGTGAGGGAAAATAGGGAACATGCTCTCCTGACATGCCGCGGAGTTCAACGCGATGCGTATGGCGTCGCGGAGAAAAGGCGCGTTAACTCACGCTTTTTATACTTGGCTGGTCTTCCCGCTCGGCCTACCAGATTAAATCAGCCCAGTCCAGCCCGCCAGTTCTGACCGCTGAGGTCATCACGCTGCGCCACTTCTGACCGATATCCAGTAAGGTCGCGCCGGCGCCGCCGCCCCGCCCGTCCCGCATCGCCGAGCGGCGATCGGCCGCTCCGCCAGCTGTCAGCGCGCACAATGTCCCACTAATCGACCGCCGCTCCTAAGCGCGACCTCGGCGAGGTCAGTCCGCAGACGGGGCCCGCCATTAGCGCGGTCGACCCGATAGCGGCGGTGGCGGCGGCGGTGGGACAGTGCCGCCCCTGTCCGGCCGACGCTGACGGGCGGTGTGTGCGGACAGGGCGGCCGCTGTCTGTCGGCGGAGGTGGAGCGGACAGACTCGGGCGTCGGCTCGGAGACGAGCAAGGCGCCGGTGCGGTCGGGCCAGCTCGGCGCCCACGACTGCGACGACTGCCGCCAGCCCGTACAGACCCAGGTCACCGACAGGTGAGTGCCGGCGCAGAGGATCCAGTGCAAAGCGGGTGGCGAATTAGCCTCGCTCTGACCGCTCACGCCGTGATCGTATGTCTGGTGATTTAGGAGGTCGTCAAACATGCCATCTAAGCAACGGTCGTGTAATGACAGTCGCTGCTGCCCGTCATGTCCACCGGCCGTGGCTTGGACCAGATCGCCCTGCCGTCAGAGTTCGTCAGGGTCCGTTATCGAGAGGCCTCCGCTCACCGGCCGGGAGTCCCAGAGGTGTTAATCGGCCCTGCTCCCTGGCACCGGGTCGGGCGCCGGCGGCGGACGCCGGGTCCGGCCTGGCCTCTGTCCGCGCGGCCGGCGCTATTAACCCCGGGCCGTGGGAACCGCCGCACCTTTTTGCGCCGGACACCAGCTGCTCGCTGAGCCAATTAGGATAATGGCGGGCGAATGAAGGCGTCGCGTCGCCGTCCGGCGAGACGTCGCCACGGCCGGCCGGCCTTAGGCGGCGCTACCTGCGTAGCCAAGCCTGCAGCAGCCCGTCTATACTCCCGTTACGTAGAGACGCTACCTCTCAGCGTTAATGGACAGGCAGGTCGGGCGACGCAGTGACACGGCGCGGTCACACGTGTCACGCGGTGTCACCGTGCGGTCGGGCTCGGTCACGCCCGGACCATGTGTGGACGCTCGTGTCGCAAAGTAACACCGGTACAATTCGGGTCACTGGTCGCATGTGGCTTACTTCGATAATTTTATGACTCCATGAAACGATGGGAACCTTTCCTGCCAAAACGCAGCGGATGAACGTCGTCCACGCGCCGCCGCCGTGCAGACTGTGGACGGCTGTTTGTGCGGACGCCACCGCTGTCTGGACGGCAGCACCGTCCGGACCACCGGCCTCCCGACCGCGCCGATCGATCTCCGGCCCGCCGGCCTCCCTCTGCCCCGGCCACGGTTTTTACACACGTGGTTAAAGTCGAATCAGCCGCCGCCGCGATGAGCCTGAATTACAGCTCGCGGCCGCACGGGCAGGCGCGATCGTCGGTCCCGAGGTGCCGAACGGAAACCAGTGAGCGGCCGCGGCGTCACGGCGCGCTCATCGCCGGTGCCGGGGTCGGTGACCTGACGCGGTGACCTTGACCCGGCAGCGGGGTGCGGTTCGACCCGTCCGTGTGCAGGAAGTGCCACAAGAAGCGTCAGGAGCGCAAGGAGATCCTGACCGAGATCGTGGAGACGGAGCTCAAGTACGGCCGCGACCTGCGCGTCATGCTGGAGGAGTTCTACCGGCCGATGCTGGTGGCCGGCCTGCTGACGCATGAGCAGCTGTCACAGGTGAGCCTCAGCCCGTCACAGGTCGGCAGCTGTCACAGGTGAGCTTCAGCCCGTCAGCAGATCAGCAAATGTGAAGGAGTCAGCAGTTGACACAAGTAAGCTGCAGGCACAGGTTATGATCCAGTACAGGTCAGCAACTGGCGCGGATCAGCAGCTGTCACAGGTGCGCTGCAGTCGGTCACATATCCGCAGTTGTCACACGCCAGCTGTGGCGTAGTCCAGGCCAGCAGCTGTCACAGGCCAGCAGCACTCCCAGCTTGGTTGCCATCCAGCCGTCAAGCGACTGGCGCAGCCTGCTACTGGCTGCTCCAGCAGCATCACGGATCCAGAGAAAAAGTCAAACAAAACTGATGCGGGAAATTCCTTATATGGCGCCCTTATCAATGTAGCGGTCGTGCTATATCCACTCTTGGAAAGGAAGGTGGTGGTGGTGGTGGTGACCATGGCGTTCCAGTCGCGGCACAATCTGTATCTAGCCATGCCTACTTGCACATTGTCCGCCTCCTGACCCGCAAATAACTCCCCCTCCCCTCAGACCAGCTACCTGTTCAAAGCAAACGGCATTGTTGATCATCCCAGACATTGTCGATATAGCAGCAGCTTACATGCAAACGATCACCTGGAAACTGCGATAAGGAGCTATGAGGACTATACGTCATGTTTTGTTTTGTACTGTAGGCGTTGGTAACAACATAAACCAATATCAATGATAATGCGGGAACAAGGATATATGCAAGAGTGCGGGGGACCGGGGACACGTCATTATCAAGTACGGGAGGACCGGGGACACGGTCATTATCAAATTGCTACACGTATGAATACGCATGAGGCCTAAAGGTCTCCCCCATTCCAAAACCGTGCGTTCGCTCCAGTGCGTAATCAAGCCAAAGTGCACTGCTGCTGGAGAGCTCCACGACACCTCGTTCTCCTTCTTCACGTGCACATGCCCCCGCGCCTCTCAGATATTTCTCAACGTGGAGGAGCTGCTGGAGGTGAGCCGCCAGCTGACAGCGCGGCTCAAGGAGGCGCTGGAGGCGGCGCTCAACCAGGGCGACGACGACCTGCTGTCGGTCAGCATCGGCGACGCCTTCCTCGACGGCCTGGACAACACGCTGAGGGCGTTCGAGACTTACTGCACCAAGCAGGCGAGTACCCCCGCCGCCGCCGGCTGACGTGTCACGTGACAGTGCTCTCGGCGAATCACACGCGAAGGAGAATGCCTCGCGGGTGTGGTGACTGGGTACAGCGCGCTACCGCGGGGTCCCGGCCGGCGGCGGCAGCAGCTACCGGGCCAGGCTTAATGGCAGGCTCGGCTGACAGCGCGCGGCGAAAGTTTGCGATGGATTTTATCAAA